CGCCGGAGACCCGCGGGTTCTCCTTCGCGGCCCCGCCCCGTCCCAGCGGCCCCCGCGCGCATCCCCGGGCCCTGATTGGCTCTGGGCGGACTCGTGGGCCCCTCGGCGCGCCTGCGCGGTGGAACTTCGCGGGTGGGGGTCGGATATCCCCAAGTGACCGCCCGCTGGTGGGAGGTTGGGGAGGCCCCGGGGGAGTCCCGTCCCGCTAACGAGCTGGTCCGCTAATCAGGTCGCCTCCTTCCACGTCAATCACTTCCCCAGAAGTGGCTCAGTCGTTGTGCAACGGTTAGTCCACATGTCAGTCAGTTCATCCTGCTCCTCCCGTGTCGTTAAATCAGTCCAGTCACTTCGTCCTTCTGGAAAGTAAGTTCTCCTCCAGTCAGTGTTTCTATAAGTCAGCCAATCAGTCACCTGATCCACTCGGCAAAAATCCGGGAGGATGTTCGGTTTTCAAAGAGATAGTGCTGAGGACGGTCCAGACTAGAGCTGTTGGAACCGAAGACTGGGAGGTAAAAGGAAACGATCGTGGATGGGTGGGGGAGAGGTGGGGGCTGTGAAAACAGCCCGTGAGTGCACCAGGGCCTGAGAAAGGAAATGAGACGTGAAAGAGATCAGAATTTTAGAGTCTGAAGGAGCGTTACCTACTCCGCAATAAACCCTCCCATTTTACAAATAGGAAAGAGAGGACGAATCAGAGAGGGGACAGGACATGTCCAGAGTTACCCAGCGAGTTACCGGCAAAGCTCTGGTTTGAACCAGCCTCGAGCTATTTACAACCTTTAATTTGAGTTGTAAATTTGAGGACGAAGGAATTTGGCAATGAGAGGGGGGAAAAAAGCAGAAGTGGGGTATGAAGGAAAGAAATGATTTGTTATCTGGAAGACTGGATGGCATCTTCTTGATGTGAGAATGAGGGAGAAGTTCTTTAAGAATGGCCGAAACCAGAATGGAAAAGCAGAGGGCTGGTTCTTGAACCAAAGCATCACTGGAAAGACATGAGTCAGAAGTAGTCACAATTTAAATGCCTATGGGAACCAGGCAGGGATGATGTGAATTTTAAGTAAGACTTATTCAGCACTTACTTTGTGCTGGCTCTGTTCTGAGGGCTTTACATGCATTAACTTAATTAATCCTCTCAATGATTCTACAAGATGGGTACTGTTACAATCTACAAGTTATAGGTGAGGAAACTGAGGCCCAAAGAGGGGGCATAACTTGCCCACAAACAGCTGGCAAGTGGTGGAGCCAGGCTGACTGCACTGCCCTCAGTCTTAACCACTGTACTCTGTAACACCTCCCAGCTTAGTGCCTCAGGGAGAGAGGGGACAGGGATGGACTGGAGGACATATGATCCATGTTAAAGGGGGAATTTGA